AAAAATCTCTATCTTCAATTTTATCGTTTTGAAAAGTTAACATATTGCAATTTTCGACATTACAAAGGGTTTGCCGAAAATAGACAAGCGCCATACTTTTTACCGCCTCTAGATACATGCGAGGAGAAATGGTAAAGAAAAAATGATTTTTTTGGAAACAAATTGTTTTAAACTTTTAAAACATGCCTATATTTTACGCAAAGTTACACGAAAATTACTCTTATTTTCGATATTTTCGTAACATAAACGTAAAATAAGGCAAATTCAATTCAATTCAATTGAAAAATATTGAACATGACTTAATTTTTAGATCTGACTGAGAATAACAGATTCCACTAAGAAAAATATATCGAGCTACAATATTATAATTGTAGGAAGACGTTCACAAAAATTGCACTTTTGCAATTTTCGAGAAATCTGACTCGTGTCGTAGGCATCCGAGGCACTAGTCGACTCATGTGGTAAATTCTGGCAGCGGGAGACTTTCTGTAATGTTCCCCGAAAATCCTCACTGTTTGATAAAAGTATGCTATAATCAGATCTATTCAATAAATGTGTTGTTCGCAAACGCGACTTTCCCTTCCTGCGCCTCGGATGAAGGCCCTACTCGCGACTGCCTGTCATTTTACTTAACTTAAACCAATATTTGTGCCCAGTTACGAATCTATTCTGCACTACGTCCCACGTACGAAGTCTGTTTTACATGAATCCCTAAATAACAAATTACAACACATGCTAAAAATGATTCACTCAAATTACAAATTATATACCACACATAAACAAATCACTCAATTAACGTTAAGTTTCCCGTTTTCTAACTTCAAAATGTTACCCAGCCTAAGTCTCCAAAATTAGTACCGTCTAGAGAGAGACTGTCTCCATTACAAATAATTGCGGAACTTCGATTTCCAACGCCGTCTCATCACTTATTCAACTCAAGCTTCGCAAAAGAATATCACGTTCTGACCCTCCAGCACGGAACACAAAGTTTGCTGAGACGTTGTCCTGACGACGTGTATTCCTTGGTCTAGACTATTTGTATGCATCCAATTCTAAAGTAATCATACGTTCAATGTATATTTCCCTTTATTAAATGCCTTAAGGGAATGTCTGCCGGGACACCAGTCGGGAGCATAGACTTGTCGCGGCTGAGGCGGTGCTCCGCTGGCGGAAGATATTTGTTTGGAAGAAATCTCTGCATGTAGGTCGACTCCCGATCTCGCCATCAACTAAAGAAGGCCACCGCCAGCTCCCTCGATAAAAATGCACTACACTTACGGAACTAATGAGATCAGCTGTTGATGTACCCGGAATCACCAAACAATGATCCGAACAACCAATCAACGTGTTGATATTCGCGTTTTCTTGAGCTATCGCTTCGCTAGTTGCGAGAGGAGTGGGGGGGGTTCGGTTATTTTGACACAAGGGATTTTATGTCTTTGTAGTTCGTTTTTCGATGCAAAATATGTTATATTACACGGGAGCGAATATTTCTGGATCAGATGTTGCGTTCAACGCTCATTGCTGCCATTTACTCTTAATTGAACTAATGTTGGCAAAGGAGTGAGGGTAGATATTCCGGGGCTCAACAAAACGTGCGCGTGTAAAGGCCCATTCACAATGCGAACATAAACATAAGCATGGCGTTAACATAAAAGTTAGGACTACGTCCATAAGCTAACTCATTCACACTGCGTGCGCATAAGCATAACACTAAGACGTTAACTGAAAAGCTTGCAAGTTTCAACCTTCTGTGATTATGTTTCAGTAAGACATAAGAAATCAACCAATCACAGTGCGTTAACTCAAAATTTAGAATCGAAATTGGAGCGAAGTCGATAGAAAATCTAACGCCAAATGGGCCATGGACACAGTCGATACCTCGAAAACGATTCTCACATCCAACCAATAGTTAACTAGAATGTCTCACAGCCAATAAAAACTCTTATTTTGCTTGCGTTTATGTTAAACATTGTGAATACTTCAGCCTATGACTTATGTTAACGTTTATGCATAAGCACAGAGGATTTAAGCTTGCAAGCTTTTAAGTTAACGTCTTACGTGTTATGCTTATGCGAACGCATTGTGAATGAGTCAGCTTATGGACGTAGTCCCAACTTTTATGCTCAAGCATTGCCTATGTTTATGTTTGCATTGTGAATGGGCCTTTACTGTATCTCATTTTACTTAAGCGAGAATAATTTGACGGATGGTATTATGGAAGTTTATGAATCTTATACTGTACCGACAGATAGATTCATTTAGGAACGATGCAATCTTCTTAAGGGGAAATATTGCCATCTATCATTTCGGAGATAAATCGAGTAGTGATTTATTGAGAAGTCTAAAGCTGGCTATTGTTGGTCTGGGGCTTCAGAAAATGACTCCAAAATGTTTTTTAATATATCACAATACTTGGAATAATCTACAGATTATCATTTACGTGGAAAAATGAAGCACAAGGCACTAGCTCATATGAATATGTGCTAAAAATAATAATCCGAGCTTTCCAGCAGTTTCATTAATTTTCATAAATGTTGAATAATTTTCATCATTTATGTTACTCCACCGTGTACGAGTAGCGCGGCTGTCATTTTGAACAGAACTGGATTTTCTGTACGTATATATAAAAGATTGAATAGAACACAGGAACATTTGATACTATTAACGTGTTCCAGAGTAAACCACGCGATGCTTTCCTCACAGTCTATTGCTCGACATGGTCACCGTTTTCGCGAAGCGCCCCGCGCTGTAGGCAACGTGTCGCAACGCCGTCGTAGCGGCCGGTTTGAATTTCGCGCCCGTAAGTGATTTTTAAATTCAATTTTCTCAAGAATAAACTTTTTTCCGAAAAACTGAACCTGCCATTCTTCATTAACGACAACACAGAATTTGAGGGTTTTTTTTTTTTTTTTTTTGTAAAGGGAGCTTCTGAAACCTGTATATTTCATTAATTTCAAACAGAAATTATGCAAAAACTACTCGTTTTTCAAAAAATTGTACATGACATTTTTTAAAGAGATTATTTTGTATAACACTTTGTCTGAGACAAAAATATCAATCTTCAATTTTGTAGTTTTGAAATGTATGAAAAAACTGAGAAATACGATCACATCTCTGGAGTTTATAAACAGCACAAAATATTAACAGTAAAGGATAGGCCCTTCTATCACAGCCTTTGTCTTTTATTTAAGATGCTAAAAATGGGTTCCCCGACATACTTAACAAATTCTTTTGTACATCTTAAATCATCTAGATTTCAGAAATCCCAGTTACTCTGCATTCCAAAAAGCAAAACCAGCTACTACAATAAATCGTTCGCAATTACTGTAGCCCGCGAATGGAATAAATTGCCTCTCAATATTAAAAACTCCTCTTCATTAACATCTTTTAAGAAGTACCTGCATGATTTTTTACGAAGTAAAATACACCATTTCGCTATTTAAATCACTGTAGATTACGGGTCAAATAAAAACGATTCCTTAGGAGTGTTAAGATTAATATGTTTTAGAAATAACTTTAATGTTTCTTTTGTAAAAAAAATTTTACTTTCTTGCGACCTGTTTGATACTGCCGGAACTGTTCTTTCATCCGTAGGAGCAGAGGCGGTTTTAAACAAGAAAACCACCCTTTGCAGCATGGACCGCAGCTGAGGATACCATCCCAAAGACCCGTTACTTCATGTTGTTTCCATTGTGTTAGGACACAGACTGCCTGGTGGGTTTTTCCCCGACTAGCGGGTTTTCCTCCAGGATCGAGAGACGTGTGATGGTGTCTTTCTGTATTAATAGATCACAGTCGCTCGGGGTGAATACCAGGCTGCCGAGTAGCGCGCAGATATTTAAAGAACATAATCTTATTTAATTCAAATTGTGTTTTCAATCTCCACTTGATTTTAAAATTATTTCAAAATTATTATTGTAACATTTTATCTATTTAACCTCTGATGTTCTCTATTTATAAGTTGCTTTAAATAACGTTTGCTTTCCACTAACTACTTACAAACTTGTAGATTACATTACATTTAAATTTTAAATAACATTACTTTTTAGTAATTTTACTATTTAATACATTACTCTGTATATTTGTGTCATGTGGTCAGGCGGAAGAGCGGGCCTGATGGCCCGAGCCTCGATATGTTAATAAAGGCATATAATAATAAAGGCATATCATAATAATAATAATAATAATAATAATAATAATAATAATAATAATAATAATACCTGAAAATAAGACTAGCCCTTCCTTACTACATATGTGGAAAAAAATCGAAGAAAAAATTTGAAACTTTTTTTGAGATAATTTTTTTGTTATAAATTTCAACGTAATTACGTAAAAACTACAATTTTAATTGCAAATTATGCAAAAACTACTTGTTTTTTCAAGAGATTCTATGTGACTTTTTTAAAGAACTAATTTTGTTCTACAGACGTTGCCTGAGGCAAAAATCTCTGTCTACAATTTTCTAGTTTTACTTTTTTTTTATTTATTTAAAAAAAAAAAAAAAAAAGAGTGATTCCCGAAAATGAGATTAACACTATATTATGTATATATGTACTATATGTTTATATGCACATATATGTATTAATTTATTAATGCAAAATTGAAAAATATTTTACACAGATTGATTTATTTACTTTTCAGATGTCTGTGTGCAAATCAAGGGAACAAGTGTAAAACTTAAAACAAAAATTTTAAAATTATATACATATATATATATATAAACTCATCATGAAATTTTGTTTTCACAACAATATCATCTCTGGTTCCTTTAGCTAACATATTTAAAAAATAATGAATTTTCATTAATAATGAATGGGAATAGATACATCTCACCCTGGGAGAGGAATTCAAATTCCATTCTTGCTGTCGATGCTGCTCACTTAGATATGGCAGCATATTTGTCTGTACCTGTTGTTAAATAAATTCTCCATATAGAACACAGCAACCAATTAAGATTAAGTCTGAGAAGGAAACATGAGTGTTTGTTATTCAAACAATATTTATTTGTAAACAAAATGTTTTTATTCACATATACCTATTACTTTGTACATTTTTATTACATATTTACATTGAGCAGTGCTACACTTTAGAAGAGAGCTTGCAAGACTTATGTATAACGTTCATAGCACTAGCAGAGCAAAAAAGTGTAATGCCATCTATAACTAAATGTTTTTAGAATCATAATTGGTACATTATAATATTCAAGTGACTGTTACTAACATTTTTCCTGAGGATAAGGTATTGGTGTGATATTTGATTTCTGACTTGCATCCGCTAATTCTATTTTTCTTTTTTTACTCAAAAATTAAACATTTAATAACAGTAATAATGAAATAAATACCTTTAGTAACAAAACTATTTTTGGCAAGTGTTCATTGATAACAGTATAAAAATATTTTCTAATATATAAATCCTCATGTATATTATAAACAAATTGATATTTAAATTTCCACTGAACAATTTCATTGTAGTGGCATTCATTCTCTTTACTTAAACATAACATTAAGTACAAACATTTCTCGAATACATGTCAAAGTGGAACAATATTTTACTACTTAAAAGCCAGTTTGTTTCTTTTCTTTGTATAATCAGAAAATATGTCATTTTCTTTTTTGTTTAGTTTCATTTTTTGAGTTTTCAATCTCAATATGAATTATGAAATTCCTTTGATTATTTAAAGGATACAGGTATACAAGCCAACTCATTTTCAATGAATTTACTTTCTTTCACGATGTTTCACAACATACACACCATTCTGTACATTTTAAATTCACTGTTATAAAAAATAGTGTTTATAAGTACATAAATAATACAAAAACTTGAGAGCTGGATGTTTAATCAAAACAAAAATAGAACATTATTGCTTTATGTGCATTAATTTTATGTACAAAATTTACAAGAAAAACAAATATATAAAAAAGTAAATTAACAAAATTACTCTTTATTTACTTTTTGAAGATTCTGTACTTAATATGGTGTTGACACTTGTACAGGAGTGCTTCAACACGTCAGTGATGATTTCAACCACTAAATAAAAAATAAAAACAAACAGCAGTAAGTGATCTGGTTGAATCTCATATTATATTATATTATATTATATTATATTATATTATATTATATTATATTATATTATATTATATTATATTATATTATATCTATAAATTAATAATTTAATAATTATAATTTAAAGTTCATTAATTTTTTTGTGTCATGCTTTCTGAAAGTTTGAGAATCTTCATCCTTATCACAAAGTGAGAAAGAGACGAGAAGGACCTCACAAAATGTAATGGGGAAACCAAAAGATCTGATATTGTAGATTGTGTTGTAAGGAACATACTACTAATTTGAGGCTTTTGAAACAGAAATCAGATGTTAAGGCTATAGGATGCACCATTTTAGTTATTCACAATCAATGACTTTCAAATCGATTACATTTGGGTCAGCTTAATTTAAATGTTTTTTCAATAAACATTAGTTATTATAAAATGAAAGTAAAATTCATCACCTCTCACTGAAATTCATTTTCTTTTGGCACCTCAATTGTTATGATTGACTTGTTATGGGGACTTTGAAATAAATCTATTTTTCACGAATAATATGGGTGATAAACATTTTATTTCGTAAGTATTGTATAGATTTGAGGTCAGTTTTGCCATTAAAAACAAAGATTTGAGGTCAGTTTTTCCTTTTAAACAAGTGAATAGAAATTGCCTCACTAAGTACTTTCTCCTATGTCTAATCTACTACTAACTACATTGATATTTTTTAATTTTTTGACATTGATATTATGACAGGCCTAATATCATTTGAATTTCTCATCCATGTGCCTAAGAGCCACAGTTTTCAAGATTTTTAGATAGGGAGGACTCGTGTGTTTTTTGAAACTATCCTCTTACTTCTCTGACCCATTCAGATGTTATTAAAAAGCAAGTAGATTCTACTCATAAAAGTTAGGAACAGTAACATATAGAATTACTTGAAGCCATTGCTCATCAATACTTACATCTGCAAGATTGAGCTTTATGCTGCCATTTTGAAGAGGATCTTTTGTTTCAAAAACATCTGTAAAATATGCACTCATTGAGTAACATAATACAAAATAATTACAGAATTTGTAAACAATAATCATGAAAGATAATAAATCTTCAGAGGAATTAATATATTAAATTAATATACAGAAGTGCAACTAATGGGTGAGCAGGAGAGTGAAGCTGGTGTTGAATTTTCCCAAAAAACCACAGACACGTTCACATACAGAGTTTAATAATTCTCAGTGGTAACAAAAGTAATTCACTATCATGTAAATTAAAAAATAATTAACCCAAAATCCAGTACAAATGAATCATTTTTTACTAGAAAACAAGTTGGCTGGTCACAACATCTACCCACTCTATAGAAACATCTTGCACTACTGTTTCATACTAATACTAATACTAATACTACTACTAATAATAGTAATGATAGTAATGATAGTAATGATAGTAATGATAGTAATGATAGTAATGATAGTAATGATAGTAATAATAGTAATAATAGTAATAATAGTAATAATAGTAATAATAGTAATAATAGTAATAATAATTAATTTCCAGAATTATTAATAAATTATTAATAATTTATGAGGAGATAGCTTTTATAAGAAGTACAAACATTTTTAATGAGTGACATTAAGTCAATATAAATATTTGCTAACGTTCAATTTTTTTTCTCTCAAAACTTTCAGCAAAGTCAAGAAGTAAAGATATTCTGAAAATACTTAAAATAAACTAAAATATTTAATTATACTTACTGAAAGCAACACTCAAGTGTAAGATAGCTGAAACAAAATCTCCAAATCGGAGGGTTCCATCTTTTCTCATGTAGCGGAGTATAAGTATAGATAGAACGTCAGTACTCAGTTGAAATCCTAAAACAATTATAAAAGATGTGGCTCTTTCAAAAAGAGAAAAAAGAGAAAAAAAAAAAAACCTTGTATCATCACTTACCTATTTCAAGAAGTGCATCCCGTAGCCTTTCTGCTTTCAATATCCCTGTCTTTTCTTTTGTATGATTTTTGAAAGCAGTCTGCCAATATTTCAAACTACACATGAAATCTTTAAAGTCATTAAATTTCAATCGCCCTCCTCCAGTATTCTGTACATGAGTTAAGAAATTTCTCAAAAAATATGAAAATTGTAAAACCATGAATAATTATAAAAACATGTTCCTATAGTTTGAGTAAGGCATCTCAGGGAGAAAATATATTTCATGAATTTATTAAAAATTTAACAGTAAACAGAAGATGTGGGAAATATTTGTGGAACTTAAACCTGCATATATTTGACAGTCTAACAGTATTAAATGTATACAAAATTCATCCTAATTTTTATTAAGCTTTTTAATTTGTATTTTCATAAACTATAATTAATACTGCAGAAACAAAAGGATACATCCAATGTGAGAACGACTTGTCTACAAACTTCCATACAAGCACAACTTTTGATATAATCTGAAACACAAGTACATTTGCATTTGCATTATGTAACAATAGTAAAACCAACATAAATACGAAATATAACAAAAATAAGAATATAACAATTATTGAGCAGAGTTAGTAATGATTAACATTTGTATGTGCCAGAAATTTATTATTACTGAGAAAACTAACCATTAGGAAGACAAGCATCCAGGAGTTCTTGCAGCTCAAATGCATTAACTGTTCGATGTTCATCAGCCAGCTGAAGAAATACTGCTTCATATTGACTGAAGCTTTTGCCATCCAGTGATAGTGGAGCCTATACAAAGAGTCAATAAAAAAAATAATCTTCAAGGAAAGTACTTTGTTTTACTTGGTATTTTAAGAGTTTTAGAATTAATGATATGTAATAACTATGACTTATTGTCATGGTCCGGTGTTATTAAATTACAACTGATTGAAAATTCACAGGAACATAGTTTGAATCTTGGGAGTCTGGTGCAGTTGATTAAAATAGAATCCCTAACTGTGAGTAACTAACTGGAGTTGTGAATTGAATTTAAATATGTTTCCAATATACTGCAAATTAGATTTAACCAGTTAAGAAACCAATCAACCAGCAAAGAAATAATTCTTCATTTTATGCCATTTACGAGTTTTAATATGCTGACCTCTGAGATCCTATTCTAATGCAATTGTAAAATGTTCGTCCATATACTGAGTGATAAAGAATGAGCAATTGCACACAGTAACATGTGAAAAACAAAATAAGTTGCTCATGTATTTGTCCATTCTGTTGTTGCCAGTTCTACAATATATGGTTTACCAAAAAATATTTTATGAATGCATGACACTGGTTGACCTGTAGGTGTGTGCAAAGTCACTGAATTAAATACCAAGTGTGGAATTACAACTGGAATTATAATGCAGGTGGATCCTTACTCAACTACTGACCCACCAGACTTATTTTCTTTACAAGACAGGTGTTATGGAAGTTTTTTAAATGGAATAATTTTGAAATATTTTTCAATAGAATCCATTTATTAAGGAAATCATTATTAATTGTTATTAATAATGAGTATCATGAATAATGATTATTAATCAATTTGTCAAAGTAAGAGACTTAATTGGGACTCCCAATTTCACAGATCCCAGGCAAATACCAATTGCATCAAACTAGCTACACCTCTGAAAATTCACCTTTTCATAAAATAACTCTTAATTAATGTTTTGTTGTCATAATGTGTTCATTAATGAGAATTTTTTTAGAGATACAACATAGGTTGAGTTAAATAAATTATTATCTTCAAAATAAATGAGAATTACCTTAATAATAGCTGATTTAATCAGGGAAGGATGAGTATCTAATAATCTGAAAAGTAAAGATAAATAAATAAATTGTGCTTAAATTAAAATTTATAACATGACTATTTTGAAAATTGTTTTATCTTACTTTAATTTTAATGGTTTGCTTGAGTATACTCTGAGAGTGAAATTTGATTCCTGTCCTGGTTCAAATGTGGTGGGAAGTACCAAATAACCACCTTGTTCTAGTTGACATCGATGGCTCACCTGGAATGAAACATTCAAATCTAAAATATTTCAGAGAGAAGAAAGTTGCTTATGAAATATGATTGTGACATATGAAAGCTTACCTGTCTACTATTTGTATACTGAGAATTAACAAGGGATTTGTTTTTCTTAAAAAACTGTTTACCAATAGTTTCTGTGTTATTCTTTGGTAAGGAGTAAGCTGTGAAGCCAATTACCTAATGAAAGATAATTAAATTATAAATTAATATAAATGTTGTCATTGACTAAATATTTTAGTAAAAGAGCACATGAAAAATTACCATGTAAATTCATATAAAATTATAGTTACATTGAAAAGAGCATTACATACTTTGGGTTCCATAATGCTATGCTGATTTAATGATATAATGACTTCTTCCATTTCACTGAGAATGAGGTGCAATTGTGGATTGATATGGAATGTATCTGAAATTTAAAAATTTACCTATTATTTACACTTCTATATTACACTTCTAAAAGCTAGCATCATTTAAAAAGGACAAAGTTATTTTAAATAATTTTGGAATTGACCTCATGTACACAACAATTAATCACAAAACTAAAACAAGCAAGCTCTAGTTGTGTTTGATGTGAAAACATCAGTAGATATTAATATAAATTCCGATTTGAATTAATTTTTTTTATTTTCATTAGCATTACAACTCAAATAGAGTACTGGCCAGACATCTGTGTTCTTAGAACACTACTATTTTCTTTCTAGATCATGGTTGATGGGATCTACAGGATAGACAGGATTGTGTGTAGTCAATAGTCAGATGATTAGGGTTCTCCTACTCCTTGATTCTTCTAAAATTGATCTGCAAAACCTTTAAAAGCAACTGATATCTGCAGATATTCCAGTTATTCACATCATTCTCTCCAGCAACTTAACTGGTGCTGAAAATTCACTGCTGTTGGAATCAAACCTAAAACCTCATAAACTATATGGCTTCAGTTGCAAACTTGCCACCAGAGAGGCTAATACATGCAGATTATATTCATCACTCACATAAAACATTCCTACCAGGATTATTTCGGCATCCTCCAGCTGAGACGCCTCGTTGCCACGCTCCTTGGTAAAGGCGCATTTGCCATGTGTTTTTGTGGTGGAGAGACGGCTCATCTCGACTGGTGTCACTGTCCAAGTGAACAACTTCTAAATGAGTAAAAGTCTTCACAAAGTCTGAATATGAAATCCTGTAACAAAAAAGAATTATGTTCTACGAAGTTATCAATTTTTCTACTAACTTTCCTTTTATTTCCAATAACTATATACAATGCACATACATATCAATAGTGTTCCTATATCATAATTGATGTCTAATGCCAAATATTTTCTTTATTTGCAGACAATAACAGTCCTGCAATGTAGCCTCTCACTCCCTAGTCAACAAGTAGTTTCTTGTTGCATTTCTCTTTGTTTAAAAAACATTACAAACAATTTTGCATGTTTACAATTATATGTGTTGCATACGTTTTTAAGTTACGGTAGTTAATAGAATTTCCTGATATCATCCAACACAATGCACATGTACAGATGTTGGAAAATATAAAACATTTCAAAAAACATTTTAGAAACATTTAATTCTGTGTTCACAGTGATTAGTAACTGTATTGTTCCAGAATTTCTACACCTCCTTTATTTCTTTAGTCTTGGAGAATGGTAATTACAGGCACAATGCAATACTTCAGAGTTTTTGATTTTCCTTGTATTGATGATGTATTTATCTGTTGAATATTTCTTTCTTTTATGTGATATAATTGCAGGGTTCAGATCATAATTAATAAACATGGGGAGTTGACAGTGGTGTAGCTTCAGTTGGTGCCGCCCAGGGCAAAACTAATGGTATCAGCCCATAAATTAAAATTCACCCATTAATATAAAGTAATCTTTAAAATTGAGATTCTTTGACCATTAAAGAATAGGCACTCACACATTTTAGTTATTATATCTTTTATTAGTATTTATGATTTAAATGTATAATTATTAAGTTTATATGTACAATTTTAAGATAAATCATTTAAGTTCTGTAATTCCAACTACAAAATTCGTTGTCATCCCTCAAATGCTGCCACCCGGGGCGAACACCCCCGCTGCTCCCCTAACTACGCCACTGTTGGTAAGTTCAGAGAGCTTAAGTTTGCTTTGTGGTTGAGGATTCCACTTGAATGACCTCCTCCCGCTGGGCAGCGCTCACCAGAACTCGCCGTCGCTCATGTGTCGCACGGCGAGGCGCTCCTTCTCCTGCGGCGGCACCTCGTCCCAGTCCACGGAGTCGCGCGCCCACGTGCCCACGTACTCGCCGCCGGGCCCCATCGGGTTGCGCAGCTTCACCAGCTGCACGGGCTCCCCGCTGAACGTCTCCACCTGCGCACAGCCGCGCCCGTCCACTACTACCGACGTCCTTTACGTCCAAATTAGAAGCAAAGGGAACTCGAACCAAGGACTTCCCGCTCAGAGGCACCGAATCACTTGATGTCCTGAGCCACCTAAGCCGTTAGGTCAGAGGTTAGAGACGGGGTAGGGCCTAAGGCCAGGGTCGGGAATTAATGTTCGGGGATTTGGTATTGGAGTGAGCGATCGAGGAACCGAATGGAACTGAGGAGAGGAATCGAGAGAGCCTAAGTGGACAGGGGAGGCCTGTCAATAGACGAAGAACGGTAGACGGGTAACGGGGATGGTTATCCTTTTGGCCTCTGAACCCTTAATGCGCGGGTTTGATTCCGGATAAGGCGCGTGGATTTTCAAAGAGCGGAAGATCTTAGTGTCATGCTTGTAGCATGTGAAAGAACCCTGGTAACCTTAGGTGAAAGGAATCTGGGTCGAATACAAGAATGCAGAACTAAGGCTTAAATGTTACTGTGTAAATGTTAATGTACTTAAATGCTACTTAAATGTTAAAAAAAGCTTAAATGTTACTGCAAAATCTCCGTGATTGCCAATTCTGTCTGGAGAGACTTACTCTTTCAACAGCATACAGGCGGTAGTTCGTTCCTATATGGATCCCATTGGCCAATTTTTCCACTTGATTACGAAGCTGAAACAGAAGAAAACAGTTGTCATTACTAATATTATTTGTTTTTATCAATATAAAAACAGATGTCTAAAAGTACAACGCCTGAACATTCTAGTAATTATGAAATAATTACTAAGATTAAAATATAAAAAATTGCCAGGAATGAAATTCGAAGAATTGTAACAAGCTGATTGGCTAGGTAAGGGTTACCTTCAACCAGGCGACATAGACCATTCGGTCATCCTGGCATTGGCAATGGTATAAATCGCTCACAAATGAGAAGTTTATATTAAACTAGTGGACCCGGCAATACTTCGCTATTAAAATGTGTTGAACTTCACACTCTCCTGGTCACGTAATTGTTAATCACGTTTTACGTTACTCTCTGCAAACATTTTAATATATGAAAGACTTTCTCACGAGTATGCGTTTGCTCTATGTCGTAGTTTAGTCATGGTTGTCCAGTATCCTATTGTTATAACATTATCCCTCAAGTTTGGGCATGCATTCGTTATGACACTTAGAGAAATTTGATTTACTTATCCGAGATAACGTTCAAGTAATAATTCCGGCCTATATTTCACAATCGCAGAGGCAGAAAATGTAGCGAAGTGACACTTAATAATTGAGGGTGCGACGGGTTGCGTTTTTCTGACCAGAGGCTTCTGAGTCCGCATAATCGCATAAAATCGCCATCAATACGCGTCTATGTGCAACACACATACGCACATCTCCATTGTACTGAGCCTATATTCTTCTCGCAAGTGCAATCGATAAGTAGAGGCAAGTTATCGCAATCGGATGAACGGTACGGCAGCGCATAAAATACGAACAAACGAACATTGTTTTTTATATTTAAGATATTTAACTTGCGAACCCTTTAATGGTTTAGAGACACTAACCACACTCCATTAACCATGTATTTATAATAAATTCTGAATAGATATCTCTCATGAATATACCCAGGATTAGATACTCGTAAATTAAATCTAGAACTTTATTATGCTCTGATGTTTGGTTTTTTCTTCATTCTAAACAGTTATCTTGTAGTACAAGTATCTCCTACACTTATGTTATACTTATCATAATGAACGATAATAAATATTTGCTAGCTAAGAAACTTAGGTTTCTTCGAGTCCAATAAGTACATTAAAAAATGGGCTAATTGTGCTATACAATCACATATTCTTATTGGTACGCTTACACAACAACATATTACGCCTAACAATTCATCACTCTCTTAAAAAAATAAAACGGTCGTAACCCAAAATTACGCGAAAACTACTATTTCCAAACAACTGAACGTGATGTAATTTGAAGACCTAATTGTGATATAAGATGCTCCAGCTTCAATATTCAAAACAGGACACGATTTAAAAAAAATCACTTTTGCATTCAAGTGGCTTTAATGAAATTAGATCCTACGCTTTTTTTAGTAGGCGAAATTTGTCCTATAGAGAGGAAAAATAAAGAAAACAATTGGAGTATTTTTGGGAAACTTTCAAACGTGCCCTAGGCGTTTAACGGAAGATCCGCAGGAGTCTGCACCAAGAGGTGCGTCCAGGGAAACGCGGGGTGAGACATGAAGTAAGGTGCCCGAGACGGTGCGTTCACTCTAGGAATAGGTCACTCGATGCCACAAATTGAGGGTTTTAACAGTGAAGCTTATCTATTATCTGTCATCAACAACCAAATATCAAATGACATCAATACCGAAATGCAAGATAAAATAAATAAATATAATAAGTTGAATGGCTTTATGAGGAGTATTTTAAAAAATATTTTGAATAGCATACTAATGAGATTTCAGAATGTGACATCTCAACCCACCTTCGTTTCTCAAGTGAAACATGAACATTGAGAAAACAATTACGTACGATCAGAGGCTTCCCAAATGAATTTCTTAAGAACTCTCTACTGGTTGTATCTTTGAGGACCACAGTTCCAAACGAAGACATAAGGTCAGAGTTAAACATTGATGTGGTAAATGACATTAAAGAAACAATTTGCACTACTTTGGAAAACTGACCGTGACATTAATTGCAGATATAATTTTGAAAAACATCTTATAAGATATAGTTATTTTCCTTCAATAAGTAATGTTGTAGCAGGGTATTTTTAAAATTTTGGAATTTTCGAAAATTCAGAAATTATAATGAAAGTCTTGTCGGCTCCATTTGTATAAGCGTGATCGAAGCTGTCACATCAAAAAATTAAGGAAAAATGTAGAGCGATTATTGAGAAAATTTTGAAAATATCGGACTTCGTATAAAGTAACTTTAAGCATTAAAAGATTCGTTTCAAATTCGCATGATCTTGAGCTCGGCCAGTCCGATGGGGAAATAGCCATTTTGGAGAAAGTCCTACCCGCAAAAAGATCAAAGCGAAGTGAAGGGCTCTTCTTCCCTCCCTTCCTTCCTCCCGCCCTTCACCCCGCTTCACTTGCACTCTCCCCTAGTCTCTGTGGGTGGCTCTGATGGCGTTGCATCGTAACGACTTCAGTTCTGGGGCGATTAGAAAAAAATGTTCGTTGCGTGATCCCGAGAAAAAAGTGAATAGTGTGAAAATCTTAGGAAAATAAACCAGGTGAAAACTAGCGGTGCTACAGAATGGCACAGACTTATTCGCATTAGTTTTCTAATATTTTTAGTCTATGATAGCTTTCCGATATTGCCCTACCCTCTTCGAAGCTGCTACCTACCAAGAAGAGGCGCCAAAACGAAATTTTGTCACATTTCCTAAAGCTTTGGTCCCATAACAATAGAGCTAAATGTGTTTTTAAGAATATTACAGAAGAGTAAACACGCATGCCCAACCTATAATGCAAAGTTTCATTGACAAATTTGGAGTCTTCCTAGAGGAAATCAGCTTCGACTGCCTCGAGCGGTGTCTTTAAGGCATCCTATGGCGAACGTCGAGTGTATTTTTACTTTCTCGTATTCGTTTTGGTTCACATTAGAGATACGAAATTCGCACACACATTTTTTAATTAGGCGACAAAAATATCTAAAAGATTTACTTCGCATCTTTTTAGATGCATCTTTAAAGGGGGAGAAAATACATTGGTGATTATTTCTTTCATTTCCGAAATCCTTTTGTTTTACAAGAGATCAGAGACCCTCTCGAGACCAGAAATTCGCTCGCAAACGAAGAAGGGTGCATTCCAAGTCCAAATTAATCCTTCGGCGCAAAGCTGTCCGTCGAATCAATAGTGCGCACGGGGATTCCTTCTTTGGCTTTGTGGGCGGAAGAGACGAGCGGAGGAAGGGCAGCGTGTCGGAATGCTCTCTCGTGACATCCGGGGCCTGACGACACAACCTTCTATACCCACATCGCGTACTCACTACATTGGTGACAAGTTCCCCACACGCTTTAAAAGCATTCAGAAATCGAAATATTCATAAACGTATGGTTTATGTGCATTCGGTTTTGTGTGTCATTGATTGCGAAAAATTCGTTAACGGCAAAAAGTGTGCCGGTCTCTCCGTCTGTTTCATGTATCCGCCCGTTTGTGAACAATTCTGAAGGCAACTCCCTAAGCAGAATGGTTACCAAAACTGATATTGCGTGACGCCTTAAGGACATTTTCAAAATGTTCTCAAGTATGGCTCCAATTTTTTTCTTTAATTGTTTCTTCAAATAAAAGAAAATGCTCTTATAAAATTATGCAGATCATATTTTCTTGTTTTTCAATTTTCGAAAAAAAAAAAACCAAACCAAAACGCAATAGTTAAAATAATGCGAGAGAGTATGTGTTGTAGCACCACCAGTTGTATTACAGATATTATTAAAAAGTCTGCGGAATGTGAATTGAGCGACTTCGTAAGTCTGCCAACCTCTGTGAGGTCACTGAGAAAACTACGTTCGAAAGCCTTGTGCAAAGTGCGACTATCTGCACATGTAGACGTGCACGCTTTTGACTGTACTGTGTTACCAACAAGTCCACATCTGCCCGTACGATAGCAGAAAATAAACCGAATTAGTCGTGATTTGAAGAAAAAGACGTTACTCGTACTACTTAAAATGTGTCATGGAATACGAACGTCGTATGCAAGGAGAAAGAGAATTACCTCATCACCTTAATACAGAAGTTTTGAAACCCAGATGAGCCACAAGTGTAGCGTTAAAACACATGTTATACCGATAGTTACCGGTGTTCTGGGATTTGTTCCATAAAATTTGTGTAAGATCTTGACGAAATTCCCAGGTTATCCAAAAAATTGAAGTGGAAGATATCGCGTTATTGAGAACAATCCACAATTTGCAAAGTACTGTAGCGGTACCTGCAATAATTGAATCTGTTTCTTAGCTGATTGCAACCTGGCACAAAGGTAGGTCATTCCTTATTCAGGAGAAGTGTACTTAGGGAGTTTTGAATCGATAGTATCTTATAAATTGGACATACTCTTTCAAAGACCATATCTTTCTTAGCTTATATTATACACAGGAATTACCATCCTAATAATAATAATAATAATAATAATAATAATAGTGATAATAATAGTAATAGTGATAACAATAGTAATAGTGATAAAAGTAATAAAATGTATCCTTAAGACAGATACATTTATTGAAACTTCCTGAGTGTGTCAGTTACCATTATTTCCTTCTCCCCTATAAAATATATTTTTTAAGCTAACGTACATTTTTAAGAAAGGCGAAGGTATCTTCCCCCGCAAGCAATTCCCAATTTGCTATGACCGACCGGGCCGGATTAACATCTTAAGAAGTCCCAAGCATAACTAAATAATTTGGCCCTCGATAAAATTTAAACACATGTAATAAAATAAACATACCATGTAGTATAAAAATAAATGAAACTTAATATTTGAAATTTAAAAAAATATTTACGTGTGTATTTGAAGGGAGCAAGTGCAGTCAGTTAAGTCAAAAACAGTTTTTCGATTCCAAATATATTTAGAATACCGCGGCGCAGATTAGTTTTGTTTAGTTGAAGTAGCATTAGAAAACTGTTTTAATAGTAGGTGACTAAGCATCTTAATAGTATTATTCACCTCTGCAGTTTACTCTGCTACAGAATCGCGTTACGTTAATGAAAACATTCTCCGTTTTACAGAATAATTAATTTATGAGTTGGCGTCACTGAATTCCGTTTTTGAATTTCTTTATCGGTAATCTGAACGGTTTAAGCGCAAGCTTTGACCAGAGACAGTCAGACAGACCTGTTTTGCTGACAGTCAATTTTTCGGTATCAAGGACCAACAAACCAAGGATTCTGACAACACAACGTTTTAGAGAAAGTAATTTACTACATAAAGGAGGAAGATACAACAGTCTTTCCGTCACCAGGGCCCGGCAATAAGACTTTTTCTGTCGAAAAATTGCCGCACGATTACAATACACTGTATTTATTACTTACGTAGCAAGGTGAGAAAGTAAAACTGATTGAAAGCAACTGAATTGTGGGAATGCTGATGTGGTATTGTTGACGTAATTACGGGATGGAATAATGGAACGTCAAGTTAATATATTTATTTACAGAGAGAGTTGCAAATGAATGTGTTCGGTTGACTTGCAACTGCGGCGTGCGCTCACCTGCGTGGCAGTGCTCTGCACGGTGCACGTGGTGATGGACGTCATCTCGAGCAGCTTGCTGAGCATGCGGCCGCACGTGGTGGGGTCCTGCCGGATGCTGATGCTCTCCGTGATGCCGCCCGTCAGGTCGGACAGCCCGTCCAGCAGCGTGCCGTACTTGAGTGCCTCGTACGACCCGTGCAGCCTGCGGACGCACAAGCGCAGCGTCAGGGCGACGCCCACCTCGGCTGTGTGCCCACAGGGTCTCTCATCGGCCCTACACATACAGCAGGCTCACAAGGCCTTCCGCGACAACACACGTTCACGGCACACAAGGAACAAACAACCCTGCCCACGGCGGGCCTCGAGCCCGCCACCTTTCGGCACACGCCCCAGCCACCTCGGACACCCCGAGATTAATTGATTATATTATTGTGTACTTCCGGGCGTACAGCGGTAATTAGTCATGAAAGGATAACACATATCCCGGCTCCTGTCGGGGATCTCCGCTAGGAGGGCTCCTGCGCCGACATAGTACATGTGGGCTGGCGGAGATTTCCCTCCTTGAGGTTTCACCGCCAGCGAGACATTGTCCCAGCCGGGACCTGCTCTTGCCACCCGACACGTCAAGTAGTGGAGTGTGTGTATGTATATGCCAGGGGAGAAGAGGTGAAAATGAAAATCGCACGCGGATCTGGCATTCGCCATGTTTCAACCCGAGAAACTACTGCTCAGAGTAGCCGACATCTAGCATTCTTCTCCAGAGAGCGCCTTGATTGCACCTCGCTCATTGGCTAGAGTCAAATCTGCCACCGTTGGAATCTAATCCAGCCCGAGCCCTTACAGTGGCGGTTGTTGCCGCAATCCAACGCAGCCGCTGCAACCACAGGGGGGTTGTGGATACTGTGGACTGGTGGAGCGTCGCAATCGTTAGCAATGCCAAGCGTAGACCAGCTGACCACACACCAAGTCTTCTTAAGAAATTAAACTCTTTCTTAACAACACTATAGCTTTAGTACTGCACAATATTTCGAAGCTTCTAATACATCGAGTACTTAAGGAAATATCCAGAAAACTATCCACAGCTATAGTGCATCTGAAAAGCTATATAGGTCTACTCACTTCGAACTCTCAAATCATTCTGCTTGTTTATTTCATGTTCGCCAACAACTTCTACTGCTAGACACGTCATACCACTAGCAAACGTTACTACTACGTTACACTGGGATATCTCCCAGAAATACTAATGCTAATATTCTTATTTTATTTTGATCATTAACATCTGCAATCAATTTGATTCATTTCATATTAGAAGAGTTAAACGCTGGCCATCCAACTTATAACTTGTTATCCAGATTGGCGGCTAATGACTTTTGAACTAAACACAATTGTGATTGGCCTCTTTCGATGTAATTGTACCAACGTTTTGAAAACGACACGAAATGGCCCTTTATTGTCACTAAAAACAACGCATTTGGTTTCATACATTCAAGTTTTAAATATTTTATTTTATATTTAATAAGAATGTCCGGGTAACACGCGACTATTTTTTCATAAATATTCTTAAATGATAACATAAAACATTAAAATATCGATATATTTATTCAATATATCTTAACACCCCACTCCAAGCATTCCTGGTTCAAGAACTCTTGCTTTAATACAAGCCTCTAATAAACATTTTCTTTTAGTTCATGAATTCCTGGTTCTCATCCCTTCTAATACACTGTCAATTACGGAACACTAATTGCCCGGAATTTCGAGCACATTTTTAGGGCTCCGACTCAACACAAAGAAAGAAAAAGAAAGAAAGAAAAAGAGAAAAAGAAAGAAAGAAAAAGAGAAAAAGAAAGAAAGAAAAAGAGAAAAAGAAAGAAAAGAGAAAAAGAAAAAAAAGAGAAAAAGAAAAAAAAGAGAAAAAGAAAAAAAAGAGAAAAAGAAAAAAAGAGAAAAAGAAAAAAAGAGAAAAAGAAAAAAAAGAGAAAAAGAAAAGAGAGAGAAAAAGAGAGAAAAAGAGAGAAAAAGAGAGAAAAAGAGAGAAAAAGAGAGAAAAAGAGAGAAAAAGAGAGAGAAAGAGAGAGAAAAAGAGAGAAAAAGAGAGAAAAAGAGAGAAAGAGAGAGAAAAAGAGAAAAAAAGAGAGAAAAAAAGAGAAAAAAAGAGAAAAAAAGAGAAAAAAGAGAAAAAAAGAAAAAAAGAGAAAAAAAGAGAAAAAAGAGAAAAAAGAGAAAAAGAAGGAAAGAAAGAAAGAAAGAAAGAAAGAAAGAAAGAAAGAAAGGAGGCAAAGCGAGCCGAGGGAGCCATTTGGTAACGAGATGCATTCTGGCGCCCCGGAAGCGGGGCTTGGCCGTTCCAATGGCGGGAACGCTGCAGGCACCTCTCGCCCAGGCACCGGGGCCTTCACCCCCTCCATTGCAAGCCGTTGGCCTGCCTCCCGTAAGCCATGACAACGTTTTTTCTGGAGGGGAGAGAATACGACCTCGGTTGGAAAATGTAAAATATACACATAAAAAGACAAGGTATAAACCAAGTGCGTGGACATTTAATGACACATCAACATTGTTTCGCATATTTATTGACGTATTCGAAATTACAGTACTGGTTTCATGCTTCGAAGCTTTTAAGTAGTATATACAGTTCACAATATCCCAAAAGCATTCCATTCGTTCCACATTACACCCGATTAGGCAGATACTCTCTTACCACACACGTGACACGTCGATCCTCACCCTAAGAGAGCGTCACATACGTCGCTGATCACTGGTTTCATAACCTGTCATCTGGAATTTTAAGACTAAATGAGAATTCACTCACGTTCGTCACACGCCCTTGCCGAAACTCTAGCGCGCACATCGCGACGGCCCGGTGGGGAAGGGCGTCACTCCCAAGAGCTTACACCAATTCCCAGTGGCATTCTCCGCCATTTCTCCTAAGGAGAACGGCTGTCTTCAAACATGAGCGCTGCTCGGGACAAGTTATTTTCATTCAACAACTCATTTCACGTTGCTTTCTAGGCTATTAGAGACACAGAGCCATCTACTCATATGGGCACACAATGCTCCAGCATTTTTTCACGCTACAAATGAAATTGTGCGATCCCATAATATTTCTTTTAGAAAGAAAGAAAAAAAATGTTGCCATGATTTCAGCCTCATATTTCATAAGCCTGATGCATTCTGGTGAATACAATAAAATAATGATACGGTACGTTCGTATTAACTTGCTATTTTTATAGTTATGTGACTAATGACGTACTTGGCATGGCGCTTAACGACCTGCAATTCACACGCCGATATAAAATGCGATATTAGTCACGTCCATTCACGATAAACTCATGACACAAGCGTCGCTGGCGGGGGTGGGGGATACTCCTTCCAATATTTTCAAATCAATCCAATAGTTTTATTTACATTTAATATCAAGGATACTTTCAAAATAACATAAAAGGATTTATTTATTTCATTTATGGTACTCAGACGGAAAAAAATATCATATTTGGATAGTCGATGATGTAACGGTTAAAATATCGGACTAAGTTTGTTGGTTCAAACCCGATCGAAGCCGTGGAATTTTAAGGGTGAAAAAGTCCTTGGTACGCCTCTTTCAGAGGGGAAGTATAGCTGGCTGCCCCATGTTAGTAGGTTTACTGCACGTAAAAGATCCTGAAGCCTCTGAGCTAAATTCAAATCGCCTATTTCGTCGCCCCCTCAAAGAAAAAAACGTCTTTCCCCGCTAACTGGCGAAAGGAGCGTGGCCAGACTGAAGAACACGACTCATTGCCCGGGTCTCGCCACGTAAAAGAAGGCATCAGTTCATATTTTGGGTACAAAATCGTGGAGACGCTCCCGAACTGGCGGATATATGTTGGGATCAGCTGCGAGCATGCATTTTCATATCTAAGAAGGACGCCAATAAGCACGTTGTTTAACACGACTACAGATTTAACAGTCGCCGTCCTCGTCTCCGTGACAGTCGTTTTCTAAGGTCATGGCAGGGGCGCAGTCAGGTTGGCGTAACCGGTGCACGGCACGGGAGTCCCTAAAGTCAGGGGCACCGAGTGAGGACCCCTCACGACGCAGAAGAAAGGTTCACAAGTATTTTAAAGGTATCTCATGGTAAAAAAGAACTGGAACAAATTTCTCGGCAGAATGTTTAATTATGGATATTCTTCATTATAGCTGCAATTGCGAGAGAATTATTTCAAGAAACAACAAAAACATATCAAAGACGTAGAAACAACGATTGAGAGATAGGGCATTCTCAAGACGTCCGCCACGTTGTCATACTTCATCTACAAATTAATTCGTTTTTTGTTGTTTCTTTGGTAAACTACGGGGTTATGAAATGGCAATAGAACAGAGCGAATGTATAAGAAGTTCGATTGTTTGTGCTTCACTATTATTAATTCTTGTATGGTTTCCCTGTTTCGTAATTCTTATCAGCATTCCAGTGTGTTGTCTTTCTTATGTTTATATTATTAAATTGCAAAAATATTGAGTTGATCCTTTGCTTTGCATCTCAAATTCTAAAGGATCGTTATCTCTTTCAATCCTTCAATTCTCTTTCTCAATCCTTCAAAAGGCGCATTACGTAAAATTAATTAAATAAATAATAAAAAATAAATGAGTAATAAAATAAATAAATTGCAGCATACTCGACAATTTTTTTTATTCCTAACCTGATCTTATCTTCAATAAACTAAAATAAAAAAAGACTGACATGTGATTCAATTCTCGTACACATACACTTTGCCGCCTCGTGCAAGTTGTGGGTGCTAGAAACGCCCACAATCTTTAATATTACTATCGGGCGTGAATGGAACCTAAGAAACTGAGTTCACTCGTTTCATTCGAATACGTCCCGACGAAGTTTTCTGCTAATCGATCAAGCAAAACCAGGAACAAATTTGAGCGCAACACGTTCGAATTTGGCACCTTCTCCTTTGGAAAGTGTAGAAATGCGGGTTGCAACCCTCAGTCAGCTATATCGCTAAATCTCCTAAACGAATCGTTCTATGGATTTGAAACCTAAATTAAGAAATGTAACTCAAATCGTAATTTACAGGATGGGATCTTCTTGAACATTCTATTACATTTTTACCTGTTCGTCACTTATCGATATTACCAATGCCAACGATATTTCAATGGTGATGGTGACATCTTTGTGACATCCCGCTTAGAAGGCTTAAATTCCTCCATCTTATACAA